TAGACGAGCAGGAATTCCTGGCCTCAAACAAAGCCACGCTCGGAATTCCGGCGAGGTATTTTCAGATTTCGAGCGATTACTAAAATGCAGCCGACGCGCCGCGTCCACCCACCCGCGAGAATGTGGGCTAATTTGTACTCTTGGGTGCCGCGCCGAAAAATGAAAGCACACGGGGGTGATTTTTTTCTATTAGTGAGGCGAGAAAGCAGAAAACGCGCGAGTGCGTCTCTCTCTTACTTTATTTATTTCTGTATCTTATCTCTCTGCTGGTGCAGCCGAGGAAGAGAGAGAGAAATTGAGAGACTCGACGGAGCACCCTTTCTTTGACTTGCGCAGCACTCCTTGCTTTTTTTCTAATCATTCCCATCGCATCTCCTCTGATCAAACACACTATCCGGGACAAATAGACAAGACTTGGCGCCGATTGGGAAATTATCAACCTATTCCCAGGCAAGAAGAGGAGCCCATCTAATCAGAGAGAGCAGGGAGCTCCTTTATTTTGATTTTTTTTATCTCTGTTCCTTCCTTCCCTCGACATCTCTGCACTTATCACAAAAATTGACTATTTAATTATTTCAATAATAATGTCACTAGAAAAATTGAATAATATTTCAGACTTTTAGAGAATCGGATTTTTATCTGATAAAATTGGGAATTCTTCATAATTTTCCTAAATTAATGATTAAGAAATAATTGCTCAAAGAATCACGTTTCCTAAAGAAATACAGGCATGCCAAAAAAGTTAACCAAAATAAATTCATTAATTTTTGCTGGAAGTATTTAAGTATAAATTTACATCCCAATCCAATTATATGGGTATTATATTTAATGCATTGAAATATGAATATTTAATTACAAAATTAATTAATACCGCGGCTTTAAAAAATGTAATAAAACCCACACAACTATGAATCTTTATTTTCAATTGATATAATAATTTAATATGTGTGGGAATGAGTGTCCTAAAGTTACTAATATACATTTAATCAAGATCCACAGATCTCGGAGAGCAACAATTGTTAATTTAATTTTTAATTTCCACAAAGTAAAGGTGGTAAATTCTGCAAGGTATATCGATCCAATAACAAAATCAAGGTTTGTTTTTATCCATTAAGATCAATTGAAGTTGATAAATAAAGTCATATTAAAATTTAAATTAAGATACTCTTAAATGCTAAATTTGAGTAAATTTTTATCATTTTTATTCTCACTGTGGCCTTAATTCCATTTAGTTTTGCTGATTACATGCTCTATTTTATCTTTTGCAAATATTTTTTTTAGTTTGTTTCCGCTTTCCATTGAGTTTGAGTTCCCCCTTGTGATAATTCGCAACGGTACTCGTCAGCTGCAATTTCTAATGAAAAACAGACATTTTCTCTCAGTTTGGCTATTTTTAAGTTTTCACATATCTCTGGCAAGAATCTTTCCTTGAAAAATCGCACCCCAAATCACACTTCCGGCAGAAAAAACGCGGTGTGCACAAGAAGCCAAGTTAGAAAAAGAGGCGGTTCATGCTTTTACTCGTTTTCGCGTCTGATACTTTGCGATAAAAAAAACTCCTACACACGAGGCACACACAAAGTTTGACACAAGCCTTCCTTCCCCCATTTCCGGCGCGGGTTCTGCTCGTGTATCAGCCTCCCTGAAATAACACACGCTCTCTCTTTCTCTCCGCCTCGCATCTCTCTCTCTCTCTCCAGCTCGCCCTGAAGGGTCACCACGGGCACAAGCAGCCACTTTGTATGTTGCTCAGGTTCCAGCAATAAAAAGGAGAAAAACACACACCCCCCGACCCACCGACCGACGGACACACAATCGGCGCGGTTTCTTGGAAATGCGCGCCAAACGCAGGTTCCGTTCGCTTGCCCTCGGATTTCCCTCTGCCGGGGGACAAACGCACGGCCTGACATTGAGTGGAGCATTTTAATAACCCCTCATGCACCGACCTTCTTCTGCTTTCCATTCGACGCTCGGACAAAAAGCAGTTTGACGTTTGATGCGGCGCAAAAGCAGCCCACTAATGCTAATTCGTGTTTTTTCTTCTTCTTCGTGTCTTAGGGGAGATTTGCAGTAGCATTATTTATTTGAATATAAATAAACACGGCGAGCGTGGCGAGTTTTCCAGAGCGTTTTGATTGCGGATGCTGGTAAAGATAAAGATCCTCGTGGGAGTTTCGGTGCGCTCGTCAAATAGCAAATGAGACGCAGACTCCTGAAAGCAAAGAGAAACGTTTTGAAATTCGGGGGTAAATATTTGATCTGCAGCAGGTGGACATAATTTCAAATTTAGCACTGGAGGTTCCCCAAACGATAATGAGTAAAGCAACAAGTTTTTTCCCTGGCGTTAAAAAAACATTACAAATTGTTATCTTGCAATAGATATAATAATAAAATGGAGATGAAATTAAGGGGAAAAAAATTATTTTTTGATACATAAAATTTGGACTGTTCAATTTGATCCCATAAAATATTTTAGTAAATTGACTATGCTTGATTCTCACACCATAGTCGTTCTATTTTTTGGGAAACGGAACAATTTTTTATTAAGCATTTAGGCTACATGATATTTGTAAGTAAAAAATTCCACATCTAAATAAATTCTCATTTTTAACAATTCATCAAAAATTGTTATCAACTAATTATATAACATAAACATTGTAAAAAACCCTTGTATTAATTACAATACATAAGGAATTTTGCAATATCGTTTTCATAAAAAGATATAATATTTAAAACAAAATTTAAAAATTTGTTTAAAAGATATAAAAATATTTTTTATATTTTTATATAAATATTATACATAATTATTTTTATGCTCACACAAATTTTTTAAATTCCTTTTTTATAAAATTACATTAAATTTAATTACCATAAACTTATTATATATGTATAAATAGGTTTTTTTCTACCAAAGAGCTAAAAATTCCTGACGCTCATAAACTTTGACCGCAGCAGCTTTTCCTTGTGTGTTGTGGGCTTACAGAGTAATTCACTTTTTTAATTCCGGGATTTGCACAAGGGGGCATAAAATTCTGAACAAACATTTAAAACCGGCGCTTCTTTTGCACGCTCCGTTGGGGGGAAGCAACGGCTTTCCATGCGGAATGAGGAACATTAACACGAGTTAAAACACAAACCGTCATGTTTTGCTGCCGAGGATTAAAATTCAGCCCAAGAATTATAATGCAAAACAAAGGAAAATGAAATGAATTCACGTTTATGAAATTGTAAAAAGAAATGGAAACAAAAATATTTTGTAGTTTGTCAAATACTTCTCATTATTTATATTGATAATATGTATTATAACTAAATTGAAAAAAAGCAGAAAATATAATGATAATGAAAATTATGAATTATTATTTTAATTTTCCATAAGAGCTTTTAATTAGAAGCAATTTAACTGATAAGCCAAGCTGATGATTTCTTCGGAAAATTGGCTGAACGTGTATTATTGTACTAAATATCCTTCTTCCAACAAATTAAATATTTTTAAAGTGTTATATAATTTGCAAAAATTATTGTACAAATGGACAACCATTAATTTTCCTATCTAAATCTTAAATGAAATATAGGAGGTTTACCGCAGCTCAATAAACTCAATTATTGAGTCTCAATAACAAATTGGATAATTGTTTTGTTAATCATACTCTTTAGTCACTTGACTTTAAATTGATTTAAAAAATATTTCAACACCTGCACAAATCCAAAATCAAATTTTCTCCCTGTGGTATAAAAATGTCGAGTAAAAAAAGGATTTTTGAACTCTCCACATTCTTTATACTTGCTGCAGAGACAAAAACAAGAGCCGTCCATGTACCTGCTGCTCTCGAATAAATTGCGAAAGTATCATTCAGCATCAGAGAGACAAAACGCTCTCAACCCTCTGCTCTCTGTCGTTGCGTGTGTGCACGTCGAATCGATTCTTTTTATATACGCAAAATAAAAAAAAAAAAAACCTGCGGCTTTGCAGACAAAGAGCGAGCGAAAATAATTCCGCACGCATCTTTTCGCCAAACTTCCTGCGAACCCCTTTCGCCTGCAACTCTCTCCCCCCTGTGTATTTTGCGCCCTTTTGTTCGCGCGTGCACCGCGCGTTCTTTTCGCCAACGGCCGCGTGGCAGGTGCTTCGTCTTGTCCAATGGGGGCCGCTGGCCGGCAGACACGCCACCGGCTTCTTTGTCCGGCCAAAGAGAAGAAATAATATATATAGTGAGCGAGAGAGAGCAAACCGCAAGAAGCTGCTGCACTCGGGCAGTGGGAGCTTGAGAACACGTAGCCGACTCGATTCCCATCATCAGCGGCCAGACACACTCACGAGTGACGTCACAATGCAGTGCGCGAATCCGCTCTAATCGAATTGAATTATTAATTTGATCGCGCTCTGGAGAGAGAGAGACGGACCCGGAGAGGCACGCAAAGATAATAATGAACCGACGGGATGAGAGTGAAGCAGGGAAAGGAGTAAAAGCCGGTGGTGTAGGGCGGGTGGTATGCATTCGCCGGTCGCCGCACATTTCGCCGGGTAGCAACAGTCGAGGGGAGGCCTCTCGCGAAAAGAAGAAGCTCAAGACTTCTCCTCTCTCTCTAGAGCTCACGCACTCACACACACACACATACAGGGGCGGCGGAGGGAGAGTTTGCTAAAATCTTTATATTATTAGGGGGCGCCCCACGTGTACCGAATGTAGTACGAGAGTGTGCAAAACTGCTTTTTACCAAAACAGCTGCCCCGCGTCTCGTCTGAAGGGGGTGCGCCGCGCAAAAGTTGATATTATTATTCCCCTTTTTGCTGCGTGCAATTCCGAATGCAAATTTTCGTCTCGCTCGTAAAATCGTAATCACTTTTTCGGGTAAACTTGCGCACCGACTTTCCAGTTGCTCTCCTGCTTAATGGGCCGAGAGACGGATAAGAGGAAATATAATTCGCTCGAGATAAAATTCGGAATAGTTAATTAAAAGGGGGTGGTTTTGTAGCCAATTAAAATGCGTCGTTTTTCATATGTACCAAAAACGTGGCTCGTTTTCTGCTTTTTATTCGTGTAATATTTAATGTATAATATATAATAAAACACATGCTCACTTATAACTTACGGCCTAGAGATGCGTTTCAAACGTACAAAATAATATTCATAAGGTGTCTGCTTTGCACTATTCTTCACATTTTTTCTTTTCCCTTCCACAAAAGCTGAGGTGGCGAAATACATAAATATTTGTTAAAAACGATGATTTCATATTTACACATTAAAAATTAAATTTTTAATTTTGACACATGTACGATCAATACAAAATTTATTGAAATTTGAGGAAAAACGACAAAAATGTTTCACAATCATAAAAATGCAGTTAAAATGCGCCGTGGTTCCCGCAACAATGAGAGCAGCATGTTTTTTCAGTCGTTTATTGCACGCACGTACAAAGTATACAAAAATAAATTAAACATGATCAACACATTTAAAATCAACATCATATTTAACAAAAAGCCACGCCCACCTATTTAAATAACGCGTGCAATTAATTACAGACGACAGAGAAAATAATATGAATTGATAGAAAAATTCTTTGAACCGATTTTAAATTGCATTGTTGCAACAATGTGAAGTTTTGGTCCCAGATTGTTTTAACGTTGCACTGAGTTTGAACTTAAAGTTTAAAACTTAAATACAAGACAAAAATATACAACCTAGAAACATTTTGAATTTTGTGCGTAAAATTACTACATCAATATCTAAGCAAGCCGGAACTGTCCACACATTTATATATAAAATTAAAAATTTCAGACTTTCCTTCAGATGTTAATTTTCTACGAGAGATGCGTGATTATTTTCTAGTCTGATATTGAATACAATTAAATTACACAGTGGGAAAAGGTGAGCTAAAGGAACGGCTAGCGCGCGAGTATTGGGGCGAAACTGCTGGCGGCAGAAAAGTGATGTTGAGACGAGGGACATTAATTAATCTAGACTGGCAAACATTCAACACGCTGCACGTAACGATCGTAATTATAATAATACGAAAAGGACGAGGCGTGAACCGGGTGCTGAAAGACACTAATTAGAGACGCGCAGCACACGCGCCGCATCTCCGAAAAGATGGTCCGCGGAGAAAACTCTCCGAAACCTGCCTTTCTCTAACCCGCAGACAGCAACTAACGATCCGATCGATTAACAGTTTAAATAGACAATATCGTGGTCGCCACAACAAACAATATATGTCCTGCTGGATTTATAAATTGCACGGCAGTTTCAGACCTTAATGCTAATTAATTTACAAATATAATCAATAAAAAACTCTATTCCATCTACAAAAGTATGGCTTCATTTGCACTTTGAACTTGACGGCGACCGTCTTGCAATTTTCTATAAAAAAAAAATCAAATCCGAAAATACTGTTATTTAACGCGCGTGCGCACATTGGGCAACTGCGCATGAGCATAGATTTTTTTAAATAAATTACGGTTAAAAGCAATTTGGCACTAAAAAATTCAAAAAAAATTATACAATTTTTACAAGAACAACGGTCAGCCGCCCTTTGCGAGAAAAATATGAAAAGCATATTGGATTGTGTTCTGTGTGAGCAACGGTGACGATTCTTCGGACGGCCCTCGAGAAATAACGTCCTTTGAAAAAGCCGTCCGGGTCCCATTTTCCCCTTTTTTTTAACAATTAGATGTACGTGTGTGATTCAGAGTTTGGTGATTGCAGTAGCACGCAGTCTTCTCTGGTCAGTTGGAGCAAAAAAGAGTTCGTTCAGTGGTACGCGGCGAGCACGCGAAGGGCGTCTTGGTGCGACAGTGCCTGCGCTCGGCACTGCCGAGATCCACCTCAGGGAGGCCCTCTGCTCTGCGGATTCACCGGTGGCGTCCAGTTCAGGCAGCTCGGGTCGATCTCCTTCACTTTGCCACGTCGCTTCGTCCGCTCGACGTACTCCTCAATTACGTCCTGAAACAGACAAAAATTATTTTAATTAACTAAACTCATTAGATTGACGCTATGATGTACATTAATTGGAACCTTGCGATACGTACTGAAGTTGCAAGAAATTGTTTGTTTTGAAACTGCATTGAAAGTTACATAATATGTGATTGAAATTCTTCTTATAATTAATTATATGGCATAAATAATTTGTATTTTTGATTTAGATTAAAAGTGATAAAACCTAACTTTTTTTTTTAAACAGCAATTTGACATAGAATTATTATAACTTGTGTAATTTTTAAGCATATTACGTTATATGTATTTAAATTTTTACAAGTTTTTACTTTATTAATATTATTTTACAATTTTTTTTTATAAAGTATTTAATATTTCAGCAGCAAATTCAAATTTGAGGGATAATTTATTTTTTTAGCCAAGGGTTAAATTATATAGAATAACTATAAATAAACTGACTTACAAGAATTATATCAAACAATTATTCAAATATAATTTCAGTCAGAGTGGAAAGGAAGGAAATAAAAAATTGTTATTTAAACCTATTATTATAAGTTATAAGCCCTCTTGAAGCAATCTATAGGTAAAAACATTAATGGTCATAATCATAACAAGAGTTGTATGATTATAATTTGAAAAATTTAAAGCTAAATTGTTTGTTAAGTTGATCTCTTCCTTAATAATATTCAGATAAGGTACATTTTAATATTAATCAGAAATTGAGCAATGTAAGTTTATTTGACTAAAAGCAAACTGGTTATAAAAAAATGTTTTGGTGCATAACGTTTACGCGTTTAGTCAAAAGTTACTGATTTCATTATTTACAGTGTTGATCACGGTACACAGATAATTAAGCCGATGCATTTACAACCTCTTGCGAAATAGCATATTATATATTGAATTAATAATTAATTAGCTACCCTTCTCTTTTCTTCCAACAAATTTTTGAAACGTTAATTTCTTAATAAAGATTTATTAAAAAATTTGAAAGCAATGAATAAATTTATTCACCAAATACCAGATTGGAGCAATCGCTTTCAACCGCCTCGGATATGCAAACAAAACTAACAAAATTAGTGCACCTCATTGAACTTTGGCATGCATTAACCCTGGTCTCGCGCCGCAGGGTCGAATTTCTCCAGTGGAGCGTCTTGAGTGCGGCCCTCCCTCGGCGAATTATGATAATCGAAATCAAAGAGACTGTTGCTGCCTCCCTGCCAACCCCAACGTGGCCCACGGAAGGAATTCGAGAAAGGCATTCCGAGCAGCCAAGCAAAGTGCACTCGGAAACTATTATGCAGAAAACGAGGAGACGGATTTAATTTGTGCGCCCCAAGGTAAATTGCAAACGGCCGCTTAATGCGGCGCGGTAATAAAATAAAACTGCTGTGCGCCATTCCGAGAACCATAAAAACAATCCGAGAGAGAAAAAGAGGGATGAGAGAGAGAGAGACTTGCCTGCTTCTTGAGGATGATGTGCTTGCCCTTCCAGTACTTCATCATCCCCAGTGCCTGCAGGGTGCTGACAATGTCGTACGAGTTGATGGCCATTTCTTGGCTGATATCTGAAACAAAACGAGCGCCGAGATCATGATAAGGTCCAACATATTACTACACCAAATATATAAGCGAAACACACAATATGGCACTTTTTCATTCTGTCCACGCAATTTGGGGAAGATCTTAACTCGCGCGCGGTGAAATATGAGTCGACGAAAGAACGCGGGTTTGTTGTATTGTTGGTTGCGGACTGCTTTCTTCCGTGCTCGGTTCGGCCACTCGAAACGATTGAACGGAAAGTTGATATGAAATAAATGAATCGATTTCGAAACTGCATGTCGGAAAGCGATACGTCATCTCTGTTGTACCGCTTTTCGGGGAGTAATCCAATTTTTCCAAGGAAAATTAATGGGAAAACACTGTTTGATCAGAAACGATAAAATATTTCACGAAAATGTGAAAACTAACAGCAGAAATGGCAGCAACACCAAGAAAAAAAAAATTAAATTATATAATCTTTTGGAATTGCAAAATTATTACAGGTCAATAGTCAATAGTAATTAATTTAAAAAGAGTGGCTTAAATTTGAGAACATCTCTTTGTTCAAAAGAAAGCGTATTTTTGAGATGAATTCAATACAATTAATGTAGAAGAAAAACGCTTCTTTCATTTGCTTTTAAATTATAAATCTTAATTAAAATATTTATGTTAAATAAATGCATGAAAAAATTTAAAACGTTTTTGATCCTGACTTTCAAATTTATTTTTAAATTATATAGATAAGCATCCTGCTTGACACCCTATTTTGAAAAAAAAAATTTAAAAACATTTTAAATAAATACACCCAAATACACCAAAGTTAAAATTAATTAAGTTTGAGATTAAACTTTTCTCATGTAATAAAAAAAATTTTAAAAATTTAAATAAAAAAAGAATATTGCTAAAATTAAATATCCAATTACGATAGTTGTGCAAACATAAATATTATTTCTACCGACTCTGATCAAATCACGATTTTGCAATTAATGGTTATGTAATTATGTAACTTTAACTCTGATAGGCTGAAGTAAACTTAATTCCGCAAATAACGATCGACTGCAATTACGGAATAAGCAGGGATTGCGTGATTGCAATTATTCCTTTTATTTTTTGCCCTGCTCTCTCGCTCGCTACTTAATGGCCATGTCAAGCATTAACAACAGCACGAGGGACGATTCAAAAATGCTCAAGCTTGCACAAGGAGAGCCAAATTGCCCGGCAGCGTTATTAAGTCGTTTTCTTTTGTGTAATTATCTATGCACATACCTGCCTCTTTAATGGTCGTTTTTTTTTTAATTCTTTTCCTTCCCATATAAAATTCGATTGCATAATATATTTGCTGTAATTTTCGCCAGAAGCGCGGCTCGGCCATGCAAACACAAAGAGCGTTATCCTAGGTCGGAGTCGTTAAACGGCCGCGGCTAATTGTAATATACAACGCGTGCCCCCATAAAAGGCGCAAACTGCGCACCTACGTGTGTACTGAGGGCGGCGTACTTAGGCGCACTCGAGAATAATATCGAGGAATAATTGGCAATTTAATGGCCGCTCTCCCAGCTTGAGGAATGCGGCGCCGGTCCGAGCTGAATATATTTATGCATTCATACGGGCATGCAGCTCGCTACTCGTAAACTGCGCCCTTTTGCATTCTGATGCTGCATTGACCAGTGTTTCCGCCAGACTTTTTTGCTGCGGTTCTTGGCATAGGACATGATCGTTTGTTATGTAATATTATCTAAGTAAGTGATATTTTTTTTTTTTAGCATAAAAAAGATGTTGTGACAATAGGATATTAGAGAAGTTAAAATTATAGAAACCATTTGAGGAAGAATTGAGCAAAATTTTCAGTCCTAGAGAAGAATAATATAAATTAACTATATTGATTTCAGTGAATTTTTTTCGTTGGAATGTTATAATTGTTTTAAAAGTTTCACAAGCATTTTTTTGGTTGTTCTGCATACCAATATTAATTGTAATTATATAATAATTACATTTATGTATATTGTTTTTCTTCTTCTTCTTTTGCAATCCTCAAATGGCACTTATGGATTTATCTTGAAAACTACTCTTCTTGAAATTTTGACTAATGACCTCATTAATGAAATGCATTATTCTTTCATCAAAAATTATGAGAGATAAAAAAAAAAATGATCTAGGAATTGTGTGAAAAATTACTTTTTTCTGTGTATGTCACAAAAGAACATGAAATGAAAGTTTTGATTAATTCGTCAAATTGCTCAAAAAATAAGCAATTTGTTTAACACTGTCTTGTAAAAACCCTAAGAGACTACCTCGCCCATTAAGCCACAAATATTTCATCAAACATTTCCTGCATTATTAACATTTCTGCACTAATTAATCAATCAGTCAAATTATTAATGTCACAACATAAATCCTGATCCTCTGCATAAATGCATTGTTGATTTCAATGTAATATTAAAATTGCGAAATCACATCATGAGATTATAATACATAATAATTTTAAAAACATCTTAATGATTTCAATATATATATTATCATTTAAAAATCATTGCACAGTAAAAATGTCAACAATTTTTTTTTTTAAATAAACAAGTAATGTTAAATATTTAATTTATGATTTATGGTTACAAATGTAAAAAAGTCAAATGTTAAACTATTAAAATATATTAAATATATATTATATCATATTTTAACAAAGTTATATTAAAACCGGGATTCTGTAAAAACAGCACAGAGGAGCCATCGATAGTTTGTACTTTTTAAGTGCCATACAAGAAATCCAATAAAAGTCGGAACGCATGTCGGGCCGAGAGAACGTGCATGTAATTTGTGTTCACTTTGCATCTCGCGCCGGAATAAAATTGCAATAAAGACAAGCGCGGAACGACCGTTCGCGGGCAATAAAGATTAAAATTATCGACGTGTGTGCATTCGCAAGGCGGACAGCGAGAGAGAAACAAAATATCGAGTGAAAAGGAAACAAATCGGAGAGCGAGCCGCGGCAGCCGCGGCCATGCATCCGTCCGGCCATGTGAGCTGAGAGGCAATAAAACCGTAATTCAAGTGCCCGGCCTTTTTGTGTCCATAATGAGCTGCTGTGCATTTGAAGCTCACCGCGAGTGAACACACACAGCAGTCGACGAGTATATTTATTGCTGCTTAAATGCTTGTGCTGCTGTAAATTCCACTTCCAGCCATAAAAGTGGTCACTCTGTATGCAACACTGTTGTTGAGACAACCGTGTCACTCAAGCCGGCATTCCGAGCGTGCACTTCTTCTTCTTCTTCTTCCCTTCGACAAAAAATATCTATTTATACGTTCCAGGTAATTTCGTAATCACGTTTTCGGTATACGCATTCCTCTCTTTCGACATGTTATTTTTTTTTCATCGATGGAAATCGTCGCGCCCGAGCAAAAATATAATGCGCACACAGATGTTTGTCACACGTCGTAAAGATGATTTATCTCGGAAATTGAAATTCCGAGAAAACAGCGGCAATAAAAATTATACGCAAACAAAAATCTACGCGACTTATGTTCGCGTATAGAAATTAAAAAGGATCACGATCTGGCTTATCAAAATAGAAAAAGAGAGAGAGAGGCAGTTTCCTGCCATAAAAAGCAACACGCATGAATTTGATATAAAAATAAAAGCCAAAACCTTTCTAGAACTTAGCAGCTTGAAAGAACACGAAATTTCAAGCAAAACTACAGGTTTGAGAAGACAAAGTTAAATTTGAATTGAAAAAAGTTTTTTTTCAATTCCTTAAACCCATTTATAATCAATCAAATAAGTGAAAGTCCTTAATTTTACAATGGCTTTTATTTTTCAACCCAGTTTGCATGATATTTTGGACTTATTTACATATAGTGAGCAAAATGTACCTAATTAACAGCGCATTTAACTAGTAATATAAGTGGGAGAATTTGCATGAACGAAAAAAAAATATTTCTGAATATGTTAACTTCAATTTATGGAGTATTTAACTTTTGTTTCAAATTTTCCATGTGAAATATATTTGATTTTAATAGTTTTTTTTACAAAAAATTAATATTTTTTAACTGCAAAAACTTATCATGTGACTTCTAACAAATATAATTTCTTTACAAATTTTATAAACATAAATTTAAAATAGTATTTTAAATTTTATATTGAATATTTTAAATTTAATAAATTCTTTAAATTATTTGTGCTAAAATTTAAATCATATTTTTCTACTTGCAAGTATTATAAATAAATATTCACAAAATGAACAGCTACATAGCTCTTTTAACGTAAATAGTTCATGCATCATCATCAGAAAAATGAAAATAAGACTGTTTTATTAATTAAATTAACTAGTTGTAAAATTAAATTATGATTTTTTTTTTATAATTGCTTAAAATCAAAGAGAAGCTTATTTTGTAACAATGCAATTAATAAAGATTGTCAAATAACACTCCATAAATCAGATACTTATTTTAAATAATGGCAGGAAATTTGCAGCATGTGCAAGAATGCAGCAATTCTGTTGCTCGCCTTAATAAATCAAAGGAATGAGTGACGTGCAGGTGCTGCTGGACACATTCCGAGGCGCAAATCGTCCGCCGCCAACAATCGATGCAAAAAGCGTCCATCCGTCCGGCGCATTTATTCAATTTAATAATTTTTTTTTCATTGCACACACGCCGCGAGTTCCGCTTCCCGAGGAAATAAGTGTCAATTAAATTAAGCCGGAGAGGAAGTTGGGCTCGGTTTTTTAGCGTTGCCGGAATGACTCACCTTTAATTGACAGCTCCTTGCCGCCGAAGTTGCACAGGTACTCCAACAAGACGTCCTTCCAGTAGCTCCGGTAGGAAATGAGGCCCAGGTCCGAGAGCGGCTTCTCTGGAGATCCAATTTTGCCTTCCTTCCGCGTCAACTGATAACCTGCAACAAGCAATTAGGCCAATTAGCCACGTGGCAAACGCACATACGACGTGCACAGAGTCAGACGCGGCTGCTCCGATTAATTAACTCTGAGACTCGTTAAGTCGCACCCGACACCCGATCGATTCTGGCCTCGTCTTGCCATCGGGACGTGAGAAAATTTAAAAAAACGGTCTATGTGCAGAAGATGAAACTTATGTTCCATTTCTTGAAAGTGAATTTGAAAGAAGCTCTCGGTGGTTTCAAATTTCGCAAAATTCTAATTTTTTTATCCTCAAATAATAAAAATTAGGTTTCCAGTCAAATTTTGATTAAAAATTTTCTTCATTGGTAATTATATATTAATTTTTTTTTCAAAGTATGACAACAGAAAGATTGTGTACGCTGGATACAGTAGTTACCCTTAAACCCCTGCTTGCAGTCAAGTTATGCAACCTGCTTGACAAAAGCTGACAAACCATTGGATTAGTTCATTTTGACCAGAATATTGAATAAAAATATTCGATTGAATTTTTGATACATAAAAATTATGGTAAAATAAAAAAAATAGTAATAATTACAAATATTTAACCTAAGAACATATTTTTTTATAAATATAATCTATGTTGAATTAATTGTTACATTAAAAAGAAGCTAATTTGATGCAAAAAGTATTACAATATGAAAAATGACATCAAATTTTATGAAAATAGACCTCAATAAATGTAAAATAAGGCAATTTTTTAGAGCAGAACCATCCTTTTCCTTCATTTCTAATCTGCTTGCAGTTTGCTTTTTCAGAACGTACACAGAGTAAAGACAGAAATTTTTTAATCAAGCTTTAAAATGAAATACAACATTGTTTTATCAATGTCCAGAAAGTCAAGTATTTCTTTTAAATTTAATATTTTCCCACAATGAATAATTATGTATCAACTATAAAGTCTATGCAAATAAGGGTGCGAATATTTGGTGGAAAGGCAGCTAAATTCTGGCGTCGCCTGGCCAATAAAATTTAATTCCGCGGCTCAAAGTGGCTGAACTGCTAAAACTGTGTTGGGTGCTGCGAGGCGAGCAAAGGTATCCGCCGACGACGGGCCGATGTAGCGAGCGAGAGAGGCTCACAGGGTGTATTATATGTGTGTGTGTTTTTGTTAAATTTGCCAAAAGCCCCTAGAGCTCGAGCGAGAGAGAGAGAGAGAGAACATGTTAACAAGGCGCGCCCACTTGCAATGTTTCAACGCCTGCTGCAAAATGCCGTCGCTGTTCTAAACTTGTTGTAAATGTACATAGAGCAAAAGCGAGCGAGGGGATAGAGAGAAATTTCGATTCCGCCCGGCAACTCTGCTGCCCATTTCGGAGTAATTTTCGCCATTTGCATATTGTTCCGCATTCTGTCTCGCACCTTTTATATTTTATATTAAAATTTATACGAATCGATTCTCTGCTCTCGTGTCTGGGAATGTGCGAAATTAAACGGGCACTCGCATTACTCATTTCGCTTGTGCGCCGAAAAGTAATCACGGAGGCCGGCGACTTCCGATGTCGTCTCGCAATAAATTTATCATTGCTCCGACGCGCAAAAAGCGGCGGCGAACGAGCCATCATTACTTGGGAGAAAATGAGAAATGGAGCGAGAGGCGTGGGCGTCTGCTGGGGATCAGTTGGGGGTTGGAAAAAAAACACCCCCGCGGCTGGGTTTGTCTTGTCATATAAATAAATTGGCCATTAATCTGCCGGCGAGATATTTTATTACAAATTGACTCTCGGCGGTATCGACTCTTCAGCCCACAGTATCGGAGAGGCCGCGATGTGGGATGCAATCCGCACTTTAGAATATTCATTAATTTATAATGATTTCAATTTTATGATTCAACGCTTATAATAAAAAATTGAAGTTAAATAGTTCGTTAAATATTATTTTGATTTAATTTAAATGGAAATAATTAAAATTTCCTTTTTTTATTTCTTTTAATATTATTAAATTAGTTATGATAATTAAATTATAATATATAATTTCTTTTATAAAGACTATTCACAGTAAAAAAAGTGGAGCAATACAAGAATAAAAATTAACAAAATATGCTATTTAAACCTAAGCTCACAACTAGAAGTTTTTTTGAAAATGGAAACGCGATTTGATCCACGTGGATGACAAGGTCGTCAGTGTAAAACAATTTTGTATATTGTTTTCTGATTAAATAGCCTGAAGTATGAATAAATATCTTTCGAACAGCGTTAATATTTGATGTCAATTTGATAAATAAATAATTTGTTGTTGGTTTTGTTTGGTAGGATTAACTTTTTTCTGCCACAATTTTGAAGAAGAGAAAAAGTTTTTAAAAATCAATGAAAATAAAATCTTGATAATAAAATATTTCCTAACCTTTCCTCTCAGTTTGAACCTTGGAGCTTGATTTTTAACTGTCTAAATGAGACAAAATTTAAAAGTGTTTGAGCTCAATTTATTTAAAGAATTTCCACAATTAATAAAAAAAATTGGGCTTTTAAAGAAGTTAAATTATTGAGAACAATATCACTTTTTTGTCAATCTCACATTATTTCGTCTAAATCTTTGCGAGCAATTCACCGAAGATTGGAAATGAGGTAAAAACTTGATCACCCGGATATGAAAATTATATTAAGCTCCTTAAGATTTAGATCAGGAGATATTGACAGTAGAATTAATGAAAATTTTATAATACTGAGAAACAATGATGCATGGAAACAACCCTTGTTTGATAAACGTTGAAGCTGCTCTCGAATGAGTTTGAAATATAATATTTAAAACAATATCGTGATGTAAAAAGAGCATTCTCATTTATTATAACCAAACGTGAAATCCGCACGCAGCGTCAGAGCTGGAATAGCGAAATTATAAATAAGTTGCTTATTCACTCGAACGTGTCCATATCACCTGCTTCTAAAATGCCTTATTTTTGCAGTCTAAAATTAGTCTCAAGCGAAAATAAATATATAACTGCCGTGCTATTTTTGGCTCCATATAAACATATAATGATCAAAACCGCTATAATTCTTTATCCAACGTTCACCAACAACAATTATCTCTAGCTCACGCCAGCAGCCATACCAAACTATGGTGTAGTGAAATTATCAACTATTTTATGGTGCTTGAGTAAAAAAGATAGCTAATTCAAATGAGCACGTAATGAGTTTGTTAAATGGGAAAATTAAAAGTGGTGGTCAAAAGGCACGTCAGACTTGTCGGGAATGAGCAGCAAACTAGACAGATAGGCATCTGCGGCTAGACACGGAGGGCGGCCGAGATTTTGCCCAGCAGTTCTCGCGTGCGGCGCAACCATCGGTATCTCTTTCTTGCTTGCGCTGTTCGTTGGCCTTTCTTCTTTTTGCAATTAAAAAGGGCATTTGGGCGCCGAAAACGGCGGGCCCGCCGGAGTTTAGCCGCGGCAGATGTTGTGGCGTGACAGCGCAGCACTTGTACCGCTGCTGCTTCTTCCTACATTATCGCAATAACAGTAATGAGATATTGTGTGTACACCGGCACTGCACGCAATTCGCTCGAGATGGCCAGCCACTCGCTGCAAAGTCACGAAAACCTGCCTCTGCTCACCGCTTCAAGGGCTTTAAAAAGGCAAAGTTAAATTTTTAACGTTTATTTAAATTTTTAAGTATTCATAAGAAATATGTACAAATAATTATTTCGTTATTTATGGAAAATTGGATTTTTTATATTATATTAAAATAAATAAATTAATTTATGTTAGTTTCAGGTTCTTAATAATTTTGATAATATCTTACCACACAATTTGATTTTTTTTCACTTTTGCTATAACTCATATAAAAAATATTTATAACCTGCCTCAATTTTATTATGAAAATAGTCACAAAATGAAACTTGTACCCTGTTGTGTATTTAAATTATGATTTGAAGAATCTCTTTGCATATCACAATTAATAAATGTTCATGGGAATATAATACAATAATAAAATTAATTTTCAGTGAAAAATTTTCGGTGAAGAAGGGTAGTTGTTGTTTAGCTTAGGGGGTGAATTTGCTCGATACATGAACGTATCCAAGGAAAATAAACGAACAGTGCAAATAATTTACTCTGCTGAGGATCACAATATTATTTATATTGTATGGCTTGAAATAGAAAACCTGTTCAGCAATTAATTTTCTTTTTTACTTTCATTAATTTGAGATATAAATAAAAAATATCTTGTTATAAAAGAAAATTCCATTTGAAAATATTATGGAACGTAAAAACATCATCACAAGTTTTATCAATTTTCAAATTGTTTGTGATCTAAATTCAAAATTTGCTAACTCCATGCACGTTTTTATGTTTATTTATTCAAATTTGTACAAAAGAAAGTTCTGGTGAGAACAGTTATAAGATGCAAATACTGTTTAAACCGGATATGCAAAAAGGACAAAGAAAACTGCGTTGACTGTCGCCGATTGCGACGGAAACCGCAGAGGTGACGAATTGAGTCATTGTTTCCGACGGATTCGAGCAATAATTTATGCAGAAATTTTGCACGCCTGAATGGAACATTAATATTTTATGTATTTTTCAACGACACAAACAAACAAAAAACCACCCAATTCTGCATTTTCGCGACACTGCGCCTGTTTAATATGCACAGGGCCGCCGCCGTTCGGCGCGATCAGTCATTCGAGTCGCACCTGCTTTCGCGCTTTTTCGCCTAAAATCGCATAATTAATTCAGGGTCGAGGTCCTCGTAAAATAGCGGCGTGTCGGACAATGAAAAGCGAATCATCGCCTTTATGAGAGAGATTTTTTGCTGCGAAAAGAACTCAATTACCGTCGGCGGGGCGTGCAGCGACTCTCAATCCGCGCGCGCAGGAAACACCATTATATTTATTATTGTGTGCTTATGAATCTTCTTTCTTTCTCTGCTTTTTTAGGCCACTTCCTGCCAGCGAAAAATGAAGCTCGAAAATCGCCAATTCGAGACGAGACGAGACGAGCTGCCCGGACGAAGTATAGCGTGTGTAATTGCAATTACCAACA